TTCATGAACTTTCTGCCTTCCCTTGGCTCCTTTATGGAGACACCTGACTCCCACAGTACTTCTTGTTGTTAAGGCAGAAGCGAAAAAGAACTGGGCGATGACTGAAAGTAGCTAAACCACTTGAGAGTGATAAAAGCATCTGTTGAAAATCTGGTAACCAGATCTCCTTGGTACCAGAAAAAAAAAAAAAAAAACACAACACATACACAAAAAAAAGCTGGTGGGTGGTGTACATGGTACAAAGAAAGGGAGTCCCTGAGTGTCAGCATCTGGTGAGGCCACGTGTAGCATAATCTGATTAGTTTTCAGTTCCACACCCACAAGCTGAAAGATAAAAACACACAACCCTCCTCCCTGTGGAGGTAAAAATCTTCAAGCATCAACACCACATTTACATTCTGCAAGTCAGCCTCTTCCGTGGCCAGATTTACATCTTGACTTCTCCAGCAGAGCAGTGGAAGTTCAGTGATGAGAGGCGAGCTCGTGTCCCTTTCCAGTTACCACATCCAGCAGACTCAAGATTGCCTTGCTTTGATCTGGGAGACATTCCTTCGTTTAGCTGGAACTGAAATGATTAAGCTGAAGATGAAGCTTCCTCACATCTCCTGCCATGCCTGGGACGTGCTAACTGAACATCAGCTTCTGTGGGCCATTTTAACGTGTTCTGGGGCCGTCCTGGGCTGGCCAGCTGAAGCAGCAGCACAGGCACTGCCTGACTGGCTGCAGATTGGACTGACTTTATTCCACTCCCCCAGTACTGTCTTCTAGTTTGGTTCATGTAAAATGATCACAGTGGGTACTGAGGTGGGTTAATGGCAATGTTTTCTGTCTCTGGAAGCTAATACTCAGGCTGGCCTTTAGCTTAAAATAGCCAAGTAGTGGTGAGAGACCAGAATATTGCTCATAATTTTGGAGAGAAATGTATTTCTTAATACCTAACATGCTTTGTGCTATGACAGCGAACAAGTCAGAACAGCTTGTGTAGCTTTTGTCTATTACCTCTCAATTTTTCTCATCTCTTTTCCTTCTCCTTGCCTGTGACCAAATCTGTTCCAATGCCTGCTGGGTCACATCCTTATTCAGAAACTCATTGCACAGCCCCAAACTTTCAGACAGCATTTCATATTCAAGTCTCCATGTGTCCATAACCGTTTTGCCCCCCTCCAAGCCAAATCCATTCCACAAAATCATCTTTTTAACAGAGCAACCAGCACTAAATGCAGTGTGGCAAGCACTGGGATAGCTGCAACATTATTTTATTCTATTTATGTAGCTTTTATATTGCTTTTTAACATATTCCACTACTGCAGGAGATCACAGATTCTCCCTGAGCTATCCACACTTGCTACCCTAATCTTTTTTCCTGAAATAAAATTACACCTCATGACTGAGACCACGGAATACAGCTTTTCTGAGCACACTCCCCTGGGATCAGGAATTTCTCTGTCAACGGAGACATATATCAATGAGAGATGAAAAGCAGCTTGTGGAATGAGTTTTAAACATGTATCACATATTTCATTGCTGCTGCTTATGTGCTACTCAGAAGGCCTTTTTAGAGTGTTTTCAGCCCATACCTCATGGCTCCTTTGTACTTAACAGCATTTTTTTCCCCCCTCAACACAGGAATCAGGGCAGGAGTTTATTTAAGTTGCCTACACTTCATTGTGAGCACCTCCTGAATCTGAAGTTTTTGTTGAGTTTCCTGCTTACTTTAGCTGTGAGCACGTCTTGGCTTTTATCAAAGCATTGGAACCCATAATGTGTGAAGCTGTAATGTAATCTCATCTCACTGGGACATTTCACTGGGGGAATGTGGCTCCTTCTCTGGATCTCTTTGTCACAATATGACTCCGTGTACAACCCTAAATTTTAAATGTCCAGAAGGGGAAGGCAAGTCTGCCTTTGGCCCCTTGCTGGTTTCTGGGGACTTGCAGTTCCATTGATGCCTGGGGTCTTCCAGATGTGCACATAACTCTCTTTTCCCAATTATTTTTTTTTTTTTTTTTTTTTTTTTTTGGGGTGGGGAGGTGGCAACACCCAAACCCACACATCTCTAGATCATTTCAGTTCAACCAGATGTGAGAATCTTTCTTCTTATTCCTTTTCTTTCCCCCTTTTTTTTGCTCCCTGCTAGCACTAAAGTGCACTGCTGTCCTGCTCAATTTTGTCTTTAGGTGATAGACCTAGTTCAGTATAATAATAATAATATACATAACTGACTATAAACTATTTTCCAGCAAAGCTGTGCACAGGCAAACAGAGTGTGATGGAAACAAACCTGGGTGTTATGAGGCACAGGCTGCTGCAGGAGTGGTGACCTGTATAACAAGTGTTCATTGAGTTATCTGAAGATAGTTATAACAGCCTGTTCACCAGTTTGTTAGTGATTCTTTAGCAAAAAGGTAACTGTATGAATGTAGCACAGGATTTTTCTACAAAAATGCAAAATAAAATTCACTTTGAGCATGGGTTCATTCCCAGATAAAATCAGCCCTGGCATGTGAGGCCAGAGAGAGGCTAATCATGTTTGCCTCATTTTGAGCCCTCTCGAATGTGCCAAAATGTGTGAGGAATGGGTAGAAGACAAAAGGGAAGGAGATGCCTTCAAAAAAAAAAAAAACAGAGTGGAAAATATGACTGGCAAAAGGAAAAGCAAATGCATAAACACTGGAGGAAAAGAAGATGGAGAAGAAGCAATCCCAAGTGAATACTGACTGTGCATTTGTATGAGAGTCATTTCTTCATGTTTACCAGCACCCCGCTCGTACAAACTGTAATTTAAATAGATGGAGAAGATAATGCTAAAGACTACCAGGTTAGATGTTATCCAGTTAATTAAGCTGCCATTATGGAGTTGTTACAAGCCCACCAAAAATCGTTCCCCATTTAAAGTGATTGATATCTCCTGAAAAGAAGAGTAGCCACCGGTGTCAGCTCTAACATAGAGCAGCACCTTCTCCTCAGGGAGAAAGCTCCTGCCTGCCCCATGATTTTAGACTGAGTCATCCTGGGAGAGAAAAACCATACTTCAAAGTACAAATTAATGGGTCAACTAATTAATTTTTTTAAATTGCTAGAGAAATTCCTCCAAAATGAAATTCCATCCAATTTCTTCTCGTCTCCTGACCTGAATTCTTCAATTCTCTAAATAGAACTATGATTCCTCTGATTCTAGTTTGGATTTAGCTGTCTAGAACTGATACCGCTTTGCCTGTACCTCATGTAGGAGCCATGGTTATTAGGTGATATAAACCCCTGTACTTTCTGTACTGTAGTGAGAGGTAGCATTAAAAGGCGTTTTATTAGGAGTGGTAGCCTGATAGTTCAATCTCAAGATTCAGTGACCTCATTTATGCTTTTAAAATAAATTAACCAGTGCCAGAATTGATTCTCTGGTCGTAAGACCAGTGGGACAATCTGACCATGTCTGCAAAGCTGAACTCTCACAGCCTCCAGTCCAGACAGAGGGCTGTGTACACACTGCTGAGGGACAGCATGGATTATCTCAAGCCACTGGGGATTGTCTGGAAAGGTTCAACCCCAAACCCTAATGGGGACCCTTCTTATTACTAAAAGCATAAAAACACCCTACTCAGCTATTGCTTGTGCCTGTGCCTGGATGCTGCTTACAGGATGGAGGCAGATGTGGTCCTGGGTTGCAGTCAGGGGCTCTGGGCCCCTGTTTCAGCTCTGCCAGAGGCTTTTTGTGTGACCTTGGTTGGTAACTTAGGATAAGATTAATTCCATTTAATGTTGACTAATGGTGAGGTACCTAATTAAACTAGTCATGTGTGCTCCTTCTCTGATCAGAGAAGGAAGAGAAAGCAAATTCAGAAGGTGAATCATCCCATTTTAAGACTGGTGTCAGAGACAAATGAGATGAATTGGCCTCTGGAAGTAGCTATTTCTTTCCATTAACTGCAGAGGAAGTCTACATTAGAAGAGTTTAGACTAGATGCCTGATTTATGAATGGCTGCAGTTAAGTAAAATTAGTCCTGACCTTAATCTTTATGCATGCCTGTTTCTCCATATGTTGAATGATAGGAATCACACCTTCTGCACTTCACATTCAAAGGCACCACTGGGCAAGGAGCATCCTGCAACTTTGGAAAGAAATTAAACCTAGGAGTAAAAATGCAGCAATTAGGCAAGCAAAGCCTTTGCTCTTGCAACGTCCCGATGACAATATGAGCAGTATCACTTGGGGCATCCTGTCACTTTTGCCAATTTTCCCCTTTACATTTGGACACCCGAGCATCCGTAAATGAGTGTTCCAAATGCAGCCATACAGCACAAGGGCAGATATCCTGGTTTTGTGGAAAGAAATTGGAGCACTGAGGAAGGCTGACCATGCAAGGAAGTGTAGGACCCAGCAGTTTTGAAAGTTTTCCTTATGATACCG